GTGAGACCAAAACCATAAAATTCTTAGAAGAAAACATAGGCAGTAATTTCTTAACATCAGCTGTAGAAACATTTTTCTAGTTATGTCTCCTTAGGCAAGGGAAACAAAAACAAAATTAAAGTATTGGGACTACATCAAAGTAAAAAGCTTTTGCATAGCAAATGAAACCATCAATAAAATGACAAGGCAACCTACTGAATGGGAGAAGATATTTGCAAATGATATATCCAGTAATGGGTTAACATCCAAAATATATAAATGATTTAATAAACCTAACACCAAAAATCCCCACAAAAAAACCCCAAAAAACAAATAATCTGATTAAAAATGGGCAAAACATCTAAATAGACATTTTTCCAAAGAAGATATATAAACAGCCAACAAACACATGAAAAGATGCTCAAGACCACTAATCATCAGGGAGATGTAAATCAAAACCACAATGAGCTATCACCTCACACCTGTCAGATGGCTAAACACAAAAAAACAAGTAATACAAGTGTTTGCGAGGACGTGGGAAAAAAAGAATCTTTGTATACTGTTGGTGGGAATGTGAACTGGTAAAACCACTGTGGAAAACAACACAAGAGATTCCTCAAAAAATTTAAAATAGAATTACCATATGATCCAGTAATTCCATTACTGGGGTATTTACCCAAAGAAAACAAAACACCAATTCAAAAAGATACACGAGCCCCTTTGTTTATAGCAGCATTATTTACAATAGCCAAGACATGGAAGCAACCCAAGGGCCCCTCCATAGATGAATGGATAAAGAAGAGGTGGTATATATACACAATGGAATATTACTCAGCCACAAAAAAGAGTGAAACCTTGCCATTTGCAACAATGTGGATGGACCTAAAGGGTATTAGGCTAGGTGAAATAAGTCAGACAGAGAAAGACGAACACCACACGATTTCACTCACTGAAATTAAGAAACAAAACAAAGAAAAAAACGAAACAAAAACAAAAAAACAGATTCTTAAATACAGAGAACAAACTGATGGTTACTGGGGAGGTGGGTCGGGGAGGGGTGAAATAGGTGATGGGGATTAAGAGCACACTTATCAGGAGGAGCACTGAGTAATGTATAGAATTGTTGAACCACTCTATTGTGCACCTGAAACTACAACGCTGGATATTAATTATACCAAAAAAAAGTGAATAAATGCGTGTACGTATGCATATAAATTAAAGTGAACAGAAAAAATGCAACAAAATATTAATGGTGAATTTTGCTAGATGGTCTTAATTTTTTTCTTTATGTTTTTCTGTACTTTTCAAATTTTCTACAGTAAATATGTATTACTTTAATCATTAGGAAAAACAATATATATATTATGAATAATAACTGGACTTTTATTTTTTATTTTTTAAAGGTTTTATTTATTTATTTGACAGAGAGAGACACAGCGAGAGAGGGAACACAAGCAGGGGGAGTGGGAGAGGGAGAAGCAGGCTCCCCGCGGAGCAGGGAGCCCGATGTGGGGCTCGATCCCAGGACCCTGGGGTCATGACCTGAGCTGAAGGCAGACACTTAACAACTGAGCCACCCAGGCGCCCCATAACTGGACTTTTAATCTCTCTGCGTCTGTGAAACTCCATTCTTTACATCTTCATAGCCAAAGTCAGAGGCTTATTATCAAAAAGGACAAAGCAGAGACTGCAGATATATTTCAAATTGAGTGCTGGCTCCCATCAAGTGGTGGTGCAGCCTGGAGTATTGTTTTCAAAGAAATTCTGCGGCTGAGTCCTCACCGCCCAGGAGACAGCACTGGGATCAGTCTCTGGCCGGGATGAGGGCACAAGCATCAGGCTATGGATCATTCCGGAAGCTCTCCCCGCGTTACACAGGGGCTTCAAGGCCGTCTGGTTGAAATCCCTTCCTAACTGCTGAGGGAACAGGTCCAGAGTATGAAGCAGCTTGCTCAATGCTCTAAAGGCAGAGCCAAGCCTGGACCTAAATTAAGGAGACGTGGGCTTTGGTCTGCACTCTGCCTTCAGCTGATCCACTCACCGTCACGTGAGCCTCTCTACCGCAGAGTCGCAGCGAGAGTCCATCTGTCCTGGCCTCCGAGAGCTCCGTCCTGTCCGCCAGCCCCTCATCCCTTCAGCCTTCCTGCCCAGAACCCCGGTGTCCCCTGACTCTGGCCTCAGGGAGCCAGACCTTCTCTTCGGAGAGGACGGACTAAAACAGTGGATGGACTGACTGACTTGCCCAGCAGATGGCAGTACGAACAAGGAAGAGACCCAACGCAGGGCTCTGAAAGCACCTAAATCTGAGCCCATCGCGGAATATTTTGTGCGTGTATCTGTAGAGAGGCACTGAAAATCTAAACAGTAGTGCGCGGACATGGCCTCAAACGGCAACACCCAACAGGCAACCCAAAGCTATGGGGCCTACCGCACCCAGCCTGGGCAGGGCTATTCCCAGCAGAGCATCAGCCCTACGGACAGCAGAGTTACAGTGGTTACGGCCAGTCAGCAGACACTTCAGGCTACGGCCAGAGCAGCTATGGTTCTTCTTACGGACAGACCCAGAGCACAGGCTCTGGCGCTCAGTCAGGTCCCCAGGGATACGGCTCAACCAGGGGCTGTGGCGGTAGCCAGAGTTCTCAGTCGTCTTACGGGCAACAGTCCTCTTACCCTGGCTACGGCCAGCAGCCAGCTCCTAGCAGCACCTCGGGAAGTTATGGTAGTGCTTCTCAGAGCAGCAGCCACGGGCAGCCCCAGAGTGGGGCTGTGGCCAGCAGCCTGGCGATCGTGATGGACAGCAGCAAAGCTCCCATAACCCCCCTCAAGGCTATGGCCAGCAGGACCGTGGGGGCCACGGCCGGGGCGGTGGCGGTGGTTACAACCGCAGCGGTGGTGGCCATGAAGCCAGAGGTCGTGCAGGTGGCCGTGGAGGCAGAGGTGGCATGGGCGGAAGTGACCGTGGTGGCTTCAGTAAATTTGGTGGCCCTCGGGACTAGGGATCACGTTATGACTCTGAACAGGATAATCCAGACAACACCGCCATCTTCGTGCAAGGCTTGGGCGAAAATGTTACAGTTGAGTCTGTGGCTGATTACTTCAAGCAGACTGGTATTATTGAGACAAATAAGAAAACAGGACAGCCCATGACTAGTCTGTCCACAGACGGGGACACGGGCAAGCAAAGGGAGAGGCAGCAGTGTCGTTTAATGACCCACCTTCTGCTAAAGCAGCTACTGACTGGCTTGATGGTAAAGAATTCTCTGGGAATCCCATCAAGGTCTCATTTGCTACTCGGCGAGCAGACTCCAACCGGGGCGGGGGCAATGGTCATGGAGGCCGAGGGCGAGGAGGACCCGTGGGCCGTGGAGGCTACGGAGGGGATGGCGGTGGCCGGGGAGGATTCCCCAGTGGAGGGGGTGGTGGCGGTGGCCAGCAGCGAGCTGGTGACTGGAAGTGTCCTAATCCTATATGTGAGAACATGAACTTCTCTTGGAGGAATGAATGCAACCAATGTGAGGCCCCTAAACCAGATGGCCCAGGAAGGGGGACCAGGAGGCTCTCATATGGGGGGTAACTATGGAGATGATCGTCATGGTGGCAGAGGAGGCTATGATCGGGGCGGCTGCCGAGGCCGAGGCGGGGACCGTGGGGGCTTCCGAGGGGGCCGGGGTGGTGGGGACAGAGGGGGCTTTGGCCCTGGAAAGATGGACTCCAGGGGTGAGCACAGATAGGATCGCAGGGAGAGGCCGTATTAGCTTGGCTCCTAAGGTTCTGCAACAGCTTTTCTTCTTGTACCCAGCGTTACCCTCATTATTTTGTAACCTTTCAACTCCTGATCACCCACGGGTTTTTTGTGTCGGACTATGTAACTGTAACCATACCTCTGGTTCCCATTAAAAACCATCGTTTTAGGTAAAAAAAAAAAAAAAAAAATCCTAAACAGTAGATAAACAAAAGATTGGAAAGAAATATACCAAAACAGTAAAAGTTGTTTTCAGTAAGGGGTGGTGTTTTAAGTCATTTTCCTTTTTTATTATTTGCATCTCTGCAATGAACAAAAAATTTTCATCAAGAAGTTATTAAAATAGTGAGAGATTATTTACGTATAATGTAGGCAGAGTTGGAGTACCGAAAAGACATTTACAAAAGTGTACAGAAATGTGAGATTCTATATTTCTGTCTATGTCATCAACAAATACAAATGTGCAAAAATAAATTTAAGATGATAGAATGCTAATGCTTCAGCAGTGTGAATATATTTAAAAATCTTATTAGCCTTATTAGAAAGAACAAAAAATTACAGATCTAGTTAAACTGGGGACAAAACACTGAATTACTGACACATGCAATCATTTCCATATGATATATTTTCTTCACATTCACTTGCTTAGTGTGAAGAGGATTTACATGAATACAAAGGGGTTATGCTGCTTCATCTCAAAATTAACACTTAAAACCTAAAATTTAACACTTAGGGCATTTGTTTCCTTAATACAGGTGTTGAAATTGCCTAGTTCTAACTTACTTACTAATAAATGTACTGGTATCTCTGGAGTATGTATGAATGTATTTAGGAGGTGTTCTTTACTATAAATAATCAGTGCAAATAGATTTTTTTTTTCCTTTTTGGCCAAATTCTTCATTTTAACTCTCTTCTTTCTTGTATTTCCTTAACACTCTTCAAATATAACCTGAGTTTTGGGGCACCTGGGTGGCTCAGTCGTTAAGCATCTGCCTTTGGCTCGGGTCATGATCCCAGAGTCCTGGGATCGAGCCCCACATCGGGCTCCCTCCTCAGGCGGAAGCCTACTTCTCCCTCTCCCACTCCCCCTGCTTGTGTTCCCTATCTCACTGTATCTCTTTCTGTCAAATAAATAAATAAAAATCTTTAAAAAAAGGACACAAAGTTAAAAAAACAAAACAAAACAAACAAACAAAAAAACAAATATAACCTGAATTTTGAAGCCAAGCGTCACTATAGAACATGAGGCTGTTTCTGGAGCACCTGCTCAGCTCCTTACCTGGCATCACAGGATCAGTTTGACTCTCTGGTCCCCAAAACATGGAATGATTCCTCTTCTCTGTATTTGATAACGCTGGTGGCTGGTTTTGGACAGTGACTTTCTGGAACTTCTCCAAGAAGGAGCTTCCTGCTGCATCTTTGCTTGGTCCTGTGATTCTAGGCTGGGCAGTCGCTGTGTGGGTCACCATCTTCTGGTCAAGGCTCACTGGAATACGGAAGAGCTACTGTTAGTTGTTGGGTTTCTTTTCTGAACTGTAATTAAAACCACTAAATTTGGTGGGGCGCCTGGTTAAGCTGCTGGCAGACTCTTGGTTTCAGCTCAGGTCATGATCTCAAGGTCATGGGGTCAGCCCCATGTTGGGCTCTGAGCTCAGTGGGGAATCTGCTTACCTCCCTCGCCCTCTGCCCCTCCCCCCCTTCCTCTCTCTCTCTCTCAAATAAATAAATAAATCTTTTAAAAAAACCCCAAATTTGCAGTAGATTTAAAGTCATGGATATTTGGGAATAATAACCATCTAAGACATGTCAGAGCCCCATAAAAAACTTCTCTCTTTTCAAATGGGTAACCTGTTTTCTCTTCTTCCAATAATTGACTTCCTAAATGTCACACATAAATTGACAAAAACAAAGCTTAAACCTAAGGTTGTGAGATGTTACATCTTTCTTCAAACCAGAAGCTTCACTTTACACTTTCTGAAGCTTTTCTTCTTTCTTGTGATGCCCTTCTATGTATCTGGATGACATTATAAGACGGGTTTATAGTCCTGAGTTAAGCACATCCCAGTACATCATAAATTTTCAAAATACATTGATCAAAATAAAATCTTAACTCACTTTAGTGTCTTTAAAAGCCATATTCTACACAGCTTTTTTAGGATGGGGAAGAATCTTTTTTTTTTTTAAATTTTTTTTTTTTTTAAGATTTTATTTATTTGAGAGAGAGAGAATGAGAGACAGAGAGCATGAGAGAAAGGAGGGTCAGAGGGAGAAGCAGACTCCTTGCTGAGCAGGGAGCCCGATGTGGGACTCGATCCCGGGACTCCAGGATCATGACCTGAGCCGAAGGCAGTCGCTTAACCAACTGAGCCACCCAGGCGCCCCTAATGGGGAAGAATCTTTTGGAAAACTGAAAGCAATTTTCGAAAAATGTAAGCAATATAAAAAGTTGGACATTTATAACTCAGATTAAGACTCCTAGTGAATGCTCACCTAATGTAAGGCATAGCTTATTCACATGAAGTTATTCACATGAAGTTATAGCTGAAGTAGAAAAAGAGCAATCCTGAGTTTGCATTTTGTTATGAGGATACAGACATCTCTTCTCCCGCCTTGCCTGAAAAGGCCATGCAGCGGACTCACAATTTTGGCAGAAAGCCTCATCAGACCCATCAGGACACTGCTCCACTCCATCACAAGCCAGGGTGATGTCAATGCAACAGCCATCATCACAGAAGAAGTGGTAGCGCGAGCAAACCTTCGAGCATCCTGTTTACAAACAGTCTCAGGTCACGGGAGCGTGGGAAAGTCAACATTTCACTGCATTCTGAGTCACAAAGACTAAATGTACCATGAAATGCTTTGGGGTATAGTGATGCATATAATGGGGAAACACCCAGTAGTGTGAGCTGGAGCAACATGTTTCGAGAAAGTGAAGGGTGTCTCCTTGACCTCCTGGCTTAATTCTGAGGCATCACCACGGGCTCTTGTCTCAGGGCCATTCTCCAGGCCAACACTGCCTAAGAGGTGGGAGCAGGGAAGCAGCAGTTCTGGTCTTCTCCAGCCAGTCTGGGTTTGCTCCCTCAGGGGTCTCCCTCTGCATTCCTTTGTTCAGCCCATCAGCTCTGTGGGCCGCCTAACGCTCTCACCTGGCCATGTTCTATCAGAGACACCATTTTATACATGCTATGTCTCGCATTCTTGTTTCCTAAGTAATAATTTTTACAGACATTAACTTTCTACTATTGAACCCTATTTGTTGACTACAATACATCCTTGGTGTTATAAAGAATAAACAAAATCTTTAGTTACCAGCTGGTACGAATTTATTTTCTTCAAATAATGAAATTGTCTCCCTTTTGGAGCCGTTAGGGGTTTTTAATCTACAGTGTAATTCAGAGGAGCTACTTGTATTTTCTTGAAAGGCATTCCCCCACTCCAGATTAAGCCAACTTTACCAGACTTAGCTATACAACAACTGGGTGACTTTGACCCTGGTTAATGGAGAGTAATGGTTATCAGGCTAGAAGTAGCTCTTAAGGAACTCCATAATTTTCCAGGGACAGAAGAAACTAACAATTCTCTCAGGACATGGGAAAGCAGTAGATAATGATATTCTACTGAAACAAATGGTTGAGCATAGTATACAAGCCCAAGTGAAATCTTGGATACATACTCCATCGGGAAGCAGTTAAATTAGGTCCTGGGAAAGGAGTCCCTCTGGGTACAAGGCAGTTTGAAAATACCTTGATCCAGGAAGAAGAAGAGAAGAAATGGTGGTAGAGCTCCTGAGAAAGAAGAGGAAGCAAAGAGCTTCAGTGATGACTGAGAATTTGGGCCCAGAAAGGGGAATCTGCTTCTGTTCCAGGAAAGGAGCTTAGAGGAAAAGTGAAGGGGAACTGGGGTTACCCTGAATACCAAGCAGGATAGGGCTACTGCTCACATTTTTAAGTTCATGACATAAAAATCCTAAATATCTCAAGGTTTTACTTATTCACTGGTAGTTTTGGAGACAGATTGGTATCTGTAACTTATCCATTTATTTCTAGATTAGTGGTCTCTAATTCTTTTTGACCATGCATCTGATCAATACATATATTATTGTATACTATACGTGTAGTGTAGTAAACACACTTCTCCGTCTATAAATAATATGCATGTACTACTATACTAACATATTAAACATGTTATAAAATATACTAAAAATGTAAGGAGATTAAAAATTACTAAAAATATAAGTTCAGGTGTCTTCTTTTCCATCCAAAAAGTGTCTATCTCTGGGGGATCCTCTTTGGAGTCCACTAATCTAGATCATATTAGAAGTTTTTGTTGGCTTGGCATTTGAAGAGATTATTTTCCCCCAAGCTTGAAAACACACAGCCTCTACACTGAAAGTCAACCACATTATTCTCACTTAACCAGGGGTACATGCTTGTCTGCTTCCTCCAGAAGATGCACCCTTGGTTACCATTACAGCCGGGTTATTAACTGCAAGACCACTACATACATAACAGAGGGGAGAGAAACACCTCTCTATCCCCATTTCTGGTTTTCAATGTCTCTATGTGGTGTTTGATTACTTTCATTCATAGTATGTTATTCCAGTCTAGCCAGAGAGTGATTCCAGATAGCAGTTAATAACACAGCCATTCTTTTTTATTTTCTATATGAAGTTACATACATAAGACCTATATCCAAGTGGCCTTTCAGTAATCAAAAGTGATTCACGTAACTTTCTGTCACTTCGAATACATTTTATTATCATCTCGGAGAAAGGCCAGAAACGTACAACTGGTCATTTACCTTTGGAGCCCTGGAAAATTGGCCTGAGTAAATAAGCCAGACTGGTGCAGCGTTAGTCATCGGCTTGGACCTGCACTTACATCCCTTCCTCCCCCCAGGCACCTTGGTTGTACAGAAACAATCCCTTTCCAACTTCGGTAGGGATAGCGGGGTATTCCTGCCTTCTTCCCATGAGCTCTTTCCTCCAAGGATCAGCACGTGACTCGCTCCCTGCCCAGGTGAGCCCTGGATCCCAGGAGGACAGCCGTCTGGGCTCAGCAGTCCTGCACAGGGAGTGAGTGGCTGGAGCCGAGCCTGTGTTTCCAATGGCCCTGGTGCATGTCCAGCACGCCAAGGTACCCCCAAATGTTTTCTTTTTTCAAAGTTTTTTTTAAGTAATCTCTCCACCCAGTGTGGGGCTGAAACCCACAACCCCGAGATCAAGAGTCACACACTCTTCCAACTGAGCCAGCCAGGCGCCCCTCAAAACTGTTCTGAGTAACTGTCTGGCTGTCCCTCGGAGCTGCACGAAGTCAGCGGCCCTGCGGGCATCTGGGCCGGATCGGATTCCTGGCCTGGACACTCCTCGTGCTTGCTGTCAGGGCTTCAGAGGGCAGCGGTGGGCAGGACCTCGGTGCCAGCCAGTCCCCGGGCAGTCACCCTCCTTCCTCACAGGACCCTGGAACCTTGGCTGGACGGGGAGTCAGCCAGCCAGATCCTGAATGCTGCTTGTGTTCTCTGTCCCTGTGGAAGGCAAATTATCAAGGTTGCCAAGTTCTCAGGATTCTAAAATCTCGCTTTGTTTCCCATATGCACACTGACCTATGTCGGATGGAAGACAAGACTGGCGACATACAGTCATTTTCCAATCTTTTTACCCTTATTCTTCCAGCTGCTGGCTTAATTACCATCTAATTACTGAGTCGTCAGGGATGGCAAAGACATGCTGTGGGTTTACTAGCCACTGTGAAGGCTCACTACGTGGGGCCGGGGCCGGGTCTGTGCAGCATACCACCGTCCGCCCGGTGCCTAGCACAGCTCCTGGGAAAGAGCCCCGAGTTCCTGCAGACGCAGAGGAGCTGCAGGCCGAAGGGCAAGGCCCTCAGATACACACTTATCTCTGCACTTCTCCAGAAGTGAGTTGTGGGGGGTTTCCCTCTGCAATACCTCTATATTTTTAGTGCTCTCAAGTTCAATATGTATATTTCTTAAACTTGATGAGCTAATCTTAGAAACGTAGATGCTTGGGAAAGTAAGAAACATAGATAAATGAGAAGGGCGAGTTTATATTGTGCAACAGATTATGAGAACAATCACAGATATGTAAAGCTATAAGTGTATCTGTGTGATGTGTCCATGAAAAATTTTAAATAGTCCTTTTAAACTGACACATGCACAATTTAAAAGGACTATTAAATTTTGTTTTAAATGCGCTTCTTAGCTGCACTCTCTGAACATACATATCAAATAGGCCGCCTTTCTTTAAACAAGATCCTCTCCTGTGCAGGACTGTTGAATCTCAGATCTGTACCTCTGAGACAAATAATGCAAGATATGTTAAGAAAAAAAAAAAAGAAGAAGAAGAAGGTAGCGGGAGGGGAGGAATGAAGCGGGGGAAATCGGAGGGGTGGACGAACCATGAGAGACGATGGACTCTGAAAAACAAACTGAGGGTTCTAGAGGGGAGGGGGGTGGGAGGATGGGTTGGCCTGGTGGTGGGTATTGAGGAGGGCACGTTCTGCATGGAGCACTGGGTGTTGTGCACGAACAATGAATCATGGAACACTTCATCTAGAACTAATGATGTAATGTATGGGGATTAACATAAGATTAAAATAAATAAATAAATAAAAAACAAGATCCTCTCCTAGAAAAACCACATGATTGTCTTTTGTGAAAATCAGTCAGGAAAGATGAAGAATCTCTAGGGTCGTGTGGCTCACACAGTCTATTCTCATCCCTTGGAGCCTCCTCCACCCCAATCCAGCAGTGCCACGAAGCCCAAAATGTAATGGAGCCTATTTTTGTTGTCATATTTTTAGAAAAGACTCTTATTTAACAACAACCAAAAATAGAACGGAAGAGGGGCGCTGGGGTGGCTCAGTTGGTTAAGCGACCGACTCTTGATCTCAGCTCAGGTCTTGATTTCAGTGTGTGAGTTCAAGCCTGTGTTGAGCTCCATGCTGGGTGTGGAGTCTACTTAAAAAAAAGAAAAAAAGAAAGAATGGAAGAGCCCATGGAATGCAGTCGGAATATAAAATGCCAGTGTAATACCATTCTTCTGTGACTAGCTGGTATCTGCCGGCCACTGTGAATGCAAGGGAATGACTTTCCCCTCACCTCCCATGGAGAAGGCCACAGGGAGCACGGTCACCGAGACGTTGTCGGAGCTTCTCTGCCCGGCGGTGTCCGTCACAGTGAGCTGAAAGGTGTATGTTCCCTCTTGTAAGTGGGACAGCTTCAGGGTTCCTGACTGAGGTACCTGACACCCAAACAGGAAACAGCACATTTAGTTAAGAGAGCTGAGGCATGGGGTCCAGCATCATCCATTATCCTTGGAGGAGTCCCATGACTCGCCTCTCCACTCCCGGTCCAAGGATGTGAAATACTAAACCATACACTATTTTGGCAGTTTGCCCCACTTGGAATTCATGATCCTCAGTTTTATCTGGGCTGACACTATCCTTGACTCACAATCCTTCTCTTGTCCTTAGCAACCACTGTTCCCAACCTGTAACGCCTCCAAGCTCCACACTCAGTACCTGGTGTCTTCCTTCTCAGCAGATGACCTCATCTGCTTTGAGAACAAAATTAGGACTATAATTATGGCCATGAGTATGGCTCCTGCACTCACCCCATGCTGGGAATGCACCTGTTCTGTACCTGTCATCACCTCCTTTCCCCCCGCCATAAGATGAGCTGTCCCTCCTGCACCCCAGGCCAATCCTCCATCCAGGCCCTCCCTGACCTCTTCCCCCTCTCAAATGGCTCTGCTATCACTATGCTCAAGTTACTCTTGACCTAAAAACAAACAAAACAACAGCAAGTAAAACACCCTACACTCCAAGATCTTCTCCAGTCATAAATCGTATCTCCCTTCCATTTCAACTTACCTTTTCAAAACCTTGTTCATGTGGCACTTGCTGCTTCCATTCGCTCATTTCCCATTTATTCTTTATCCCACCCATCTGGTTTCTTTCCTCACCATCCTCTTGAAACCGCTGGTAAAACTCACTAACAGATCTAGCAAAGGTCACGGGGTTGTCAAGATCAGCGCTACTCGCTAGCCTCACCTTCCACCAGCTCCCCCTCCACTGGCCCTCTTACTGTATTTTATAATGTGGCCACTCCTGGGTTCTGGAACTCCCAACTTCCCGGGCTTCTGTTTCTGTGTTTGAGTTTCCCCAACTATTCCTTACTGATCACCCTCATGGACTTCACTTCTGCTCACTTCCTAAACCCAGGGCCCCATCTTGATCCTCTACTCTTCTCATGCCACTTTTCTTTTTTAAATCTTTTTTTTTTATTTTATTTATTTTTGTGAGAGAGAGAGAAAGAGAGCACGAGTGGAGTGGGGGGAGGGCAGAGGGAGAAGCAGGCTCCCTGCTGAGCAGGGAACCCGATGTGGGACTCGATCCTGGGACCCAGGGATCATGACCTGAGCTGAAGGCAGACACTTCACCGACTGAGCCACCCAGGTGCCCATCTCATGCCACTTTTCAAGGAACCTTCTGCTCATGGCAAGAGCAATAGCTTCTGAGGCTCAGTTCTACATTGTGATTTTGGGAGTCATTTTTGGATGCTCAATCCAACTACTATATTTTTCAGCCCTCCAAAGATACTATAATGGTTTAATATCCTATTTTTCTAGGAAAAATCCCTTTTTGCTTAAGCGAACTAGTCTGGATATCGGCTACAAATGAATTCTGACCATTACACGGTTTATTACAGGGACGCATTAACGGACTTGAAAGTACAGAGAGTTGTTGCCCTGTTAGAAGTATCAGCTGCTGGTTTGTATTCATGAAATCCTAGAATTGAGATTCCTGCACATGACCCTGGCTTCGAGGCTTTGTCAGGACTACGTACACACGCGAGCAGAATGCTTTACAATCACTCAGAGGCAATGTAAGGAGATACAGTTGTTGCCACACTTTAGGCTGCTCAGAAATCAGTCACCAGAGCTCCTGTTAAGCACAGATTGCCCAGCCCAGCCTGAGAGTCTGAGTCAGAGGGTCTGAGCGTGGGATCTGGGAATCTGAACGTAACAGGCACACCCAGATGATACACCGATGACGCTGGAAGAAAATGAGTGAAGTGGTTGAGAGTGGAGTCTGGCATCCAACAGAGCTGGGGTGGAATGCCAGGTCCAACCATGTGCCAACTGTGTGATCTTGTACAAGTCACTTAACCTACTTAAGTCTCAGTTTCTTCATCTGTGAAATGAAGTAATAATGGCACCTATCTTGTAAGTATCAAATGAGATAGCTACATAAAAAGAGCTTAATATAGGGCTTACATAGAATTATAAATATATATCAAAAGAGCTCGAAACATAGTAAATGCTTAGATATATCCATTATCTCCCTTGGTTAGTTCTCGACTCAAGCTGAGCCATCCAGTTTTTATAGACAGGGAAATGAAATCTCAATAATGTGACTTTCACTCACTGTGATGGTGACAGAATTGAGACCTCCAGATGCAAAACCGGCTATGAGCAGTCCCATCCCTCCCCCTGCAAAAGCTGTAGGCTGGACATCTGACAAAGAAGACCACCAGTCCTTTGTGGTTTATTTCAAAGAGATGTTAAGCAGTTTTCACTGCCACGTGGTTACATGAACTTCAGGCCCAGCTACGCTAAGAGAATATCAAACAGGGGTCACTTCTATGAGAATTAAAACACTACCTGAGGGGCATGCAGAGAGAAAGTTGAAGATGACAAGCTAATTGCAGAGTCTGCGGTGGGCAACTGATCCTCAGAAACAAGAGGGTGCTGCAATGTCTGAGAACATCAGAGATTCAGATGAGTAGGATTTAAAATGAGACAAGAACTGTGGTTTGAGACCGCAGGGTCGTATTGAACCCCTGTTGTCTTTTACATCCCAACCAATTCGTCAGGAAATCCTGTTGGCTCTACTTTAAAAACACATCCAGGGGCACCTGGGTGACTCAGTCGGTTGCGCGTCAGACTCTTGATTTCCGCTCAGGTCATGATCTCAGGGTCATGAGAACAAGCCCCACAACGGGCTCTGCGCTCAGTGCAGAGTCTGCTTGGGGTTATCTCCCTCTCCTTCTGCTCAACCCCCCCCCCCTTACAAGCTCTCTCTAAATAGATAAAATCTCTTTTAAAAATCCAGAATTTAACCACTTCTCATCATGTCCACCGTCACTGTCACCACCTTGCTTTAAAGCCCAGTCTGGTCTGAGCCCACCCTGTCTCTAGCCTGAGTCACTGCAGTGGTCAAGAGATTTGCACTCCAGTGGGATTGGAGCCCAACATCCTTTTCTTCTGGAAACTTCCCCTCCCACCTTTGTCCACATGATTGTAAGGTAAGTGTCAGTTATGACTTCTCCCTATGGCTGTAGGAGTGTGAGGCTGAACCAAGGAGAGTCAATGACTGCAAGGGGCAGGAGGTGGTAAGGCTGGTGCAGGTGGTGGACTCTCACTCTCTCCAGCTCTGGCTCAGAATCAGGCAGGCCTTGCTAGGTGGCAGCAATGTAATAGGTAAGACCACTACTTATTGCTTCTTGGGACACATGGATACATGGTGGCAGATGATGACCACACTGAGCCCTGCAGCATTGAGTAAGGTGCTACAAGGGAGAGAAGCTGTCCTAGCTGGTTTGCCTGAATGCAGACAAGACCTAAGACTGCAGAAAGCCAACAGCTGAGGGCTTTGTTGCCTAGGTACCTGAGAGGAGAGGGTAGACTATAGGATTGAACGGAATGAGATTGGTAAGGTCAGGGCGACCCCGAGTGGGGCCATAGGAGTGAGGTGGAGGTGAAGTTAATGGAGATTTTAAGAGACCGGGGAGGCCCTGAAGCAAGGGATCTAGATGGGCCATCTATGTGGACACTATTATCACCCCGGCCTGTGCCTAATCTCTCTGGGTGTCAACATTCAACACACTAGTATCAAACTGAAACTCTGAGGACCTGGGGTTTGTTTGGGAAGCCTCTTTTCAATGCTGGGGCTGGAAGGACAGAGCATCCCCTGTCTAAGAGGTCATCATCCACCTGGGCTTTGGATGCCTCTCTCTGCCTTACTAGGCACCTCCTTTCTGATGTCGGAAACACTGATCCAGATCCAGACCATGGTGATAACCTTCAAAGTCCTGGGTGAGCTTAAATTTAGATCTATTCAGATTAATATCCCTTTCCCGACCCCTTTTATTCATTTAGCTAACAAAGGGTGTCTTTCCTTGAAATCAGATATTTAGAATATTTAGAACATAAGATGGATATTTTCCCTTCAAGCCCCCAGGTAATCCTTCTAGACATCTTCTCATATTTATATGACATTGGAAAGGGTTTAAAGTATTTTACAAACATTTCCTAAGTGTTAGGGTAAAAAATATATATAGGAGAAAGAGAATAAGACAAACGTTCTCATTGTTCCTGCCAAGAGAGCAGGACAATATTTCCTGAGAACATGAACCCATTTTCTTGACACCTGGCCATAATGCAGAGTTTCTACAGACAAAAGATTAGTACTGCTTCTTTCTTGTTTCTTCTCCTACTGCCCTTCTCTCCTTCCTAAACTAGGGAAGATCAATATTGATATCTTGGTTTGGCAAGATGTGGGTAAAGTGGGTAAAGTGTACACAAGATCTCTCTGTATTATTTCTTTCTCTTTTCTTCATTTATTTTAGAGAAAGAGAGAGAACGAGCAGGGGGAAGGGCAGAGAGGGAGGGAGAGAGAGAATCTCAAGCAGACTCTGACACGGGGCATGATCTCACAACCCTGAGATCACGACCTGAGCCAAAACCAAGAGTAGAATGCTCAACCGACTGAGCCACCCAGGTGCCCCTCTTTTTTCTTTTTTTTAAGTAATCCCTACACCCAATGTGGGGCTCGAACTTACAACCCCAAGATCAAGAGTTCATGCTCTACCAGCCAGGCACTCCTCTCTGTATTATTTCTTAGAAAAGTAGAAGTACGTTACTATACAGACCACTGGGCAAATGGCCAACTGTCCTCTGGGCAAAGCCAAACCTGATTCTCATTTTTAATGGATTCTGATTTTATGGCCCTCGGTCACCATACTGAGAGGATACACATTGACTTTGAATGCTATCAGGCACGTGCAAAATGTTTGCACTATAGAATATGGATCTTTTCAATCTGAAAAGTTCAAGTCAATATAATTTTATAAGTCCTATTTGTCAGAATATTAAGATTATAGAGACAGGTACCACAGGGCCCTCATCTGTGAAGTCTTCTCTGACTTCCCTGAATTAGATTATAATCTCTCCTTCTCTGAATTCTAGCAGCACTTTATCTATATTCTTTTACAGTCTTGCCCTTTCTACTTGGTATTGTTGTTATTTAGGTGCACATCTAATATCCTCCACTGGTGTCAAGCTACATGAGGGCAATATCCCATACAACTTTTTCACGCCTTACTCCCTTGCTCCTTGCCTTGAAGAGGCCCTCGTTAATTTTTTGTTTATATACAAGTGAGTAAATCTATTCTGTTTGTAGTTCAGCTAAACTATCGGTCAAAAGAGACCAGTATTTATATCCCAAGATGTTTAGAATTCACCGTAATAGTTACCTCTCCTGGAGTGCTCATGTTATGCTCCGTGGTACACCAAGCGTTTTATTTGCGTTTTCCCTCTTTGATCCCTTACTGAAACTCTATCAGGTGGTATTATCCTCTTTACAATTGAGGAAGCTAAGGCTTAAATAATGAAACAATTTTCCCAAGTTCACCCTGCTAGGGAATTGGCAAAACTGGGTTTGAGTCCAGGTCACTTGACTCCAAATTCCATAGGCACAGCGGTTCCAGAATCCTACCTCTCTGTCAGCCCAGTAAGGCCTTCCAAGGTCCTTATTCCAAGAACCATTTCTTAGAAAGAACCCAGGCACAATTTATATACAGACTGGCCAGCTGTAATGCTCTAACAAAAGCAGATACAGTAAATCAGGTTGAAGCCCCATCTGACTGGAAGCACAGATAGATTGCAGACTCCTGGGGTTCTGGAAGCCTACTGTGCTGTCAATTTATTGTCTGAGAAGTTGTGTGTTTGTTTCTGAACAGGCAAAGAACTTCAAAGCTTCTGCCCTTACTGGAATAGAGCTTTCCTAACTCAATTTACCCAGATTTATTTATCATGAATTATGTACTTTTTTCCCCCAGGGAGATTATTTTTCAACATTTCCTTATAAGTAATTTTCTTAAAGAAAAAAATGCAATTAAATATTCAAGGCCTTGAGGATTGTGTAAAAAGAATTCATACGTAAGTGAGGGTAGGCTACATTTAAGCTCGTGGTCAACACTGAAACACAACAGCTATGAATTATTACCCTATATAAGCTAATAAAGCGCTTAGCGTACCACAGAGCATAACATGAGCGCTCCAGGAGAGGTAACAATTATGGTAATATTTACTTCTTTTCTTCTGCTTTTGCTCTCATTCCCAGGAAACACCTAGACCCTCTGGTTTTCTCAGTGTCAAAATGGCTCCTACTTAAAGTCCTTTTTGGCCTCAGACCAGAGTCTGAAAGGTTGCCTCTTCGGCCATTTGAGGAGGGAGGTTTTGTTCCCTGTTAAAGTCCTTTTGTGCACCGGTGAGCACATGGAGTGAGTCTTGGTGGTCTGGGTTTCCTTGGGAGAATCTCTAAAAGAATACTACCCAGGCAGCAACACAGTCTTGCCTGGGTATAAGACAAGGCTATCAAGAATTGTGTGAATACTATCAAAGGAAAAATGATCTCATAATAAATTGAATAATATCATCATGTTTGAATGTCTACTGTGTGTGGCTCACGGCTCCAGGGGCCTTACCTACACCACCTGGTTTAACCCCAATAATAATGCCTTGACAGGAGGACTCCTCTTATTTTCATCTTGCAAATGGCTTAAGCCATCTGTCTCACAGATAGGAAGTGGTAGAGCTGGGATTCAAAAACCACAGCATAAAGTAGGTGCTCTGTTAGAATTCTTATCTGTTTGCTCTCTTTCATTTATGACAAATTGACTCACTTGAAGGAGGAAGGAAATAGGTTAAGTGTGATATAAAACTTTCTCAGGTACCCAATTACCACTTTTCTCTTTTTTTTAAATTTAGAAACAATCTCCCCCCCATCACTCCCCCCCACCAAAGGCCTAGAATGTCTGAAATAACTTTTATTGAAGTGATTTACAATTTGTTTTTGTTTAAAGATTTTATTTATTTATTTGTCAGAGAGAGAGAGAGAGAGGCAGGCAGAGGGAGATGCAGGCTCCCTGCTGAGTAAGGAGCCTGATGTGGGACTTGATCTTAGGACACTGGGATCATGACCTGAGCCGAAGGCAGACGCTTAACCGACTGAGCCACCCAGGCATCCCTTACATTTTGTTTTTATGAAGACTAGAAATTGTCCAGTAGCCAAGAAATAATAATAGGTTATGTGTGCTTAGGATCTCCTTTGACGAGGTGCAAAGAAATTGTCAGACAACACTCACTAGCTCTTTGTAATAGCTGTATGAGTCCAGAGTGCTGAGCAATGTTGTTTCGCCCATCGTGCTAGGAAGGATGATACAGATTTAGGGGCTAGAAGAACACTTTTGGAAAGGTTAGCTGAGCAACCAATTAATTAAAAAAAAATTAATTAGTAAGTATTATTAGAATCCTAGTAAGTATATGCATAGTTCTAAGCTTTGGGAGAGAAAGGGAAAAAAATATCAAGAAAGGAATAAAGGAAGGAGGGAGGGAAGAAGGAGAAAAGGGAGACAGGGCCCCTCTGTCAGGGAAACCCCTCTTCAGCTCATCGTTCCTTCTCTCACGGAAAATACTTCTACAGGAATCTTCTATTATTGTTAGAATTCTGTTGTGATACTATAGATTTTATGTATTTCTTTGGCCTGTTATCAATGAGGATGTGTAGAAAACAGAAGACAACAGATACAGTTAGTGTTTAATCTTTAAAGACCACGGTAGGTTCTCTGGAATCTCTTGGTTAAACAACTGCAGGCTGCCTTGAAAATCCTGCTCCCTAAATTTTTATAGTCTTGTTCAGTAGGGTTTTTGTTTTTTTTTCCTAAAAAGAGGTTTTTATTGCCTTTGGTCCACAGTCAACATTTCACATTATCTCTGGGTCCCAGGGCTCCTGGATGGTGGCCAGTCCCCGGGGAGGACCTCCGGGTGGGGATCCCTGTGCAGTATTTGGCGGAGGAACGGGGACAAGTACAGGAAGGTGAGGGGGTGGCTTTGCCTCAACCACTCAGAACTCTGTTGTCCTGCCTCAGTTTCTCCACTAGCCCCCAGGGCGAGCCACAGGTGAGTCCAAGAGGGCCAGAGCAATCCAGTTCCTCACAAGACCTCAAATATTTCGGACTGTGGCCTGGCCCTCTCCCAGGGGACCTCCTTCCTTCCCAGCATCCCCTTCCACCATCCCCCCACCACGGCCTTGCAAAAAAAAAAAAAATTTCTTCTTTCATTAAAACTGCCTGAAACTTCTGTGGGTACAGAAACCACAAACTGATCAGCAGAGAAAAGGGAAGAGAAGGAGAGGCAACCGGAAACCATTCAGGGCTGGTCCCCTCCCTGCCCCGGTTTCTTCCCCCAGCCCCCCGCAGCTCAGCCCAAAGCCTGCTGGGAAACCTGCGGCCCACATGAGCCCCCCACACCGTGCAGCTCTGCATGTGCTTCACCCTTTCCCCACAAGCCCTCAGCTGGTAGCGCTCAGACAAGGACACAAACAAGACGAAAACAGAAGAACCCCAAAACCACACAGAGCAATGTGGGGAGACACCCTGCATGGTGCCTCAGTAGTCGGCCTCCTCCCGGTGGTAGGGTGTGTACTCTGGGGCCTCCCCGGGGCCCGGGCAGTCGCCTGCAGCCGCTGAAGCCCCATCGGCCACGGGGCCCTGGGGGCAGTACTTGGGGTCATAGATCTGCCGGCCCAAGCCAAAGACCTGGCCGCTCTGGTTGGCGCCCTGCGTGTAGCCCATCTGCAGGGACATGGAAGAGTTATCACACTTGTCGGTCCCCAGCTTGGTGTCGTAGATGTGCCGCCGGGTCCCCGGAGCGGTCATGCCCACCTGGCTAGCACACTTGTTGGTGCCCATCTGGAGGCTGATGGTGGAGTGGTCCATGGGGAGCAGGATATGGTTCTTGGGGTCGTACAGATGCCTTCTTGTGCCGTATGCCGTCATGCCCAACTGACTGGCACATTTGTTGGTGCCCATCTGGAGCCCAATGACACACTGGCCCGCCTTCATGGTGGCGTCATCGAAGTTGCGTTCCTGCTTTTCTGAGTATTTGACGCCAATGTCCACGCCACTCCGCAGCCCCTTTGTCTTGGCCTTCCCGGCCAGGGCGAGAAGAGACACCTGCACCTGCGTCATGTTCCCGCTCTCAAACAGGTCGTTGGCCTCGAACAGGTCCACAGGGTTCATGCCGTAGCTGACCATGGCCTTGATGAAGGTGGACAGGTTTTCCAGCTGGTGCCAGTTCTGCATGGAGCGGTTGATCTTGGGGACAGAGCCTGGCTGCAGCTTATTCATGAGTGTGCACAGGATAACTCCGTATTTCAGACCCTTCTGGAAGTCGGGGCCGATGGCGAGGCCTGTGAGTCCCTCGATCCAGCTGCGGAGCTCCGCCTCCTTCTGGGGGTCGTACTTGGACAGGAGCCGGTTCTTGACCTCGGCCGACAGCCCGTACGAGGGCCCCTTGTTGAACTGCGTGGAGCTCATGGCTGGCGGGGCGGCGGGATGGGACGGGCTCTTTCAGTAGGTTTTTAAATCACCTCTTTACCATGTAATAATTCGTTCCTTTTGTGAGCATTTTCAGTATTGACCCAAATTATATCCCAGGAAGTCTGACTGAGGAGGAGTAAGTGACCAAATGGCTCCTCTACAAGGAGACGGTGCAATTTGAAATTCAACAATTATTTTGTGCTCTCTTGCCCTATGTCAAAAAAGTCAATTATTGTTTCTATTTATGTTCCTTTTCCAGAAACCTCTTCTCTAAGGCTGAACTATAAAATACCATTTTTTAGAAGGTTTATTTGAGGGGGGAGGGGCAGAGGGCGAGAATCTCAAAAGGAGTGTGCAGACCCATGTGGGGCTTGGATCTCACCACCCTAAGATCATGACCTGAGCTGAAATCAAGAGTCAGAGGCTTGAGGGTGACCAGGTGGCTCGGTCAGTTAAGCGTCTGCCTTTGGCTCAGGTCATGATCC